AAATTACTCAAATAAAATTCTATACTTTTCCATACTGCATAGGAACCCTGGAATTATTTCTAAAGTATCATGTGACACAGGAGACTGGAGTGACGGCTGCTGAAAATTCAGCTTTGCCATCACAGGAATAAATTCAATTTATTAAAATAGAAAACAGTCATTTTAAATTGTAATAATATTTCACAATATTACTGTATTTTGTATCAAATAAATGCAGACTTGGCGAGACTTCTTTTAAAACATTACATAATTCTTACCGACCCCAAACTTTTGAACGGTAGTGCACATATACCTATTCATATCAGGTAATCATCTTTATCCCTATGGCAATACATTCCACCAGCCACTGCCAAAGTAAGCTACGGTGTTATTGCCAACTATTGGGAAATTCTGAGACCCTTGGCCTGCCTTCACAGGGATTGTTGTTGTCAGATTTTCACCAAAGTAACTGGATATCTTGCTTCACAAATGCACGAGACATGAACAAATAAGTTCAAAAAGCTCCTTAAAGACCTCTTCTGTTGTCAGACCAAGGGTGTGAAGCTGTTCCTGTACCCTTTACTCCTGAAAGTTCACTACGTTCTTTTGTTAAAGACCTTTTCACATGACAAAACATAAACACAACGTAGCCCAGGTGTCTGGTCTTATTGGATCTGAACAAAGCGAAAAAAAGGTCACCAAAGAGGTCTCCGTCTATAAACTGATGCAAAACAGCCCAACAATGACTTAATGTCTGCATGATTTAGTACGATTACTGATTAATAGAGGAGCAGTAATCAGTTTAGCAACGTTTACTTTAAATTAAAGTTTGATATTCTGTTAGTTTCGACTCATGTTTATCATGCGCCTTCTATCCTAATCAAGATTATTTTATGAAGTAACCAGCTGTCTCCTCCAAGTAACATCATTGCTTGATTTGTGTCCTGTGTGCTGCAGAGGTTTACACTTGATTACAGAATAAATACACACGTGTCTGACATCATCATCATTTAGTTCATTTAGACATTTGTATATGCTTCAAAGCACAATGTCCTTCATTAGACATGCATCACCCATATTACTTCAACTAATGGCTGGATTTAATGCCCTGGGAGATGTTTAACACTATTCCTGTGGTTTTGCCCCAGTTCTCAGTAATCTCAATAGATTTTTAATCTTAAGCAATTTCCACACGACTCGTGATCCACATGAGATACAGCAGATGAAGCCAAGGTGATGATTATTTGGGGGGATTTTAAGCGGAGTTTGTCTGGAAAATAGCCAGTTGCTTCTGGCTCTATTTATGCCTGAAATGAACCTTCATCTCAGGTGATAAAATCACAAATGCTCAGACAAGATCATGGTTTACACCTGGTAGTAACCAAGGGGTAAAGGCTGGACTAGTTAGCATGGTCCAGTTAGCCCTTGCTATAAAATAAGTCACAAATACACTACTGTTTAAAAGTTTGAGGGAGGGATATTTTTATTTTTTGGTCCCCAAGGCTGTATTTATTTGATCGAAAATACAGTAAAATTGCAATTTTGCAATTTATTACCACAATTTTAAAAGCATTGCTTTCTGGTTTCATATATTTTAAAATGTAATTTCTTCCTGTGATGGAAAAGCAGAATTTTCAGCAGACAATATGCCACTTTTCAGTGTTACATAATCGTTCAAATATCAGTATAATATGTGACCCTGGCTCACAAAACCAGTCATAAGTTGAACGGGTATATTTGTAGCAATAGACAACAATATATTGTATGGGTCAAAATTATCGATTTTTCTTTTATGCCAAAAATCATTAGGATATTAATTAAATTTGTAAATTCCCTACCATACATTTATCAAAACCTACTTTTTTATTAGTAATATAGATTGCTAACAACTTCATTTGGACAACGTTAAATGCGATTTTCTCAGTATTTTGATTTTTTTGCACCCTCAGATTCCAGATTTTCAAATAGTTGCATCTCGGCCAAATATTGTCCTATCCTAACAAACCATACATCAATGGAAAGCTTATTTATTCAGCTTATTTATTTATTCATGTATAAATCTCAGTTTCAAAAAATGGACCCTTATGACTGGTTTTGTGGTCCAGGGTCACAAATGTTGATTTGGTGCTCAAGAAACATTTATTATTATTATCGATGTTGAGAACAGTTGTGTCGCCTATTTTTATGAATACTGATTTTTCTGGATTCTATGATGAATAGAAAGTTCCAAAATGTAGCCTTTATTTGAAATAGAAATCTTTTGTAACCATGTACAAGACTTTACTGTCCTTCAATCATTTTAATGAATTGTATTGTATTTAATTGCATTATAGTATGGATTGGATAACATGAGACAAATATTAATACAGGTGATAAAACAACGTGAAATGATTTGCTGATTTGTGACTAAAAATGATCAGAAACGATGGGGAAGAAAGTCTGGGTACAATTTACAAAAAAAGTAGCACGTAATACTCCCTTTAAGTGCTTCTGGAAAGTTCCTACTTTAAAGTTCAGAAGTTGTATAAAACGTACTCGGTTACTAACGTAACCTCGGTTCCCTGAGATACGGGAGAGAAGCTCAGTATCCGTCCAGTCGTTGGTGGTGCTGGGCGCGGATGATGGCGAGGGGGTGGGGTCATTTTCCGAGCCCAACAGCTCCTCTGCATCTGATGCTGTGAGCGGAGAGAGGCAAGACTAAAACTCTCGCAATGAGAGCAAATAGATCCTGTGAGCGCAGCTTCCGCATGGGGTTTCCCCAACTAGGAAACGCACTCCGAGTGGCCGTCATCGGCATGCAGGGGAGACCCGCACGAGCCGCAATAACGGCGCGGCATTTGCAACAACGCCGCTGCTCTTTTAGAAGCTCTTTGAAGTCGCCGGATGGCGGCAGGGGAACCGGACCGGAACTGCTGCATCGCTGGAGAAGCGGAGAAGCAGGTCAGCCGAGCTGAGAGGTCCCGATTCCAGCTGCGAAAGCGTGTCAACGGCGAGCGGCTTCGGATCAGCTTGAGACGTAGAGTCGTCGCTGAAGGAGAAGAAATCTGAGAATCCTGTGGCGAGTGCCCGCTTATATAGCCAGATGCCCCGCCCATTCTGGCGGGCTTTGGCGGGCTTCGTCGCCATAGTCTCGTGCAGCTCCGCTGCCGTGCCATTGGTTCGTTTTTAAAACCCTGCACGAACCAATGGCCGTGCAGTTTCACTGCGTGAATTAAATAGGCTTCAGTTCAGGAGAAAAAAGGCTTTTTCCCATATGCGTCTTAAGCAAGACGCAGTACGAGTGAAGTATCCAAAGGGAATATTGTTATTTTGGTTAGAATAAACAGACACAGAAAACAGAAACTTTTTGGAGCTACTGCAATAAAATCAACAGCAAAAGATGGACAGTGGGTGTGTATTTGATTGCTAGCCTGTGTACTTTATCATTCTCATGCCACCACAGTGAATTACGGCAAGTGTAGTTCTATCACGCAAGCCTGTCAGCTCATTAACTGGCTAAATAGCTAATATTTATTTTCTTTATCAACAAAATGCATGCAAACTAAACTATGCTGTCAGAATTTACAAATACAACCTAATGTGATCAATGCCACTTCTGTAACGAATCTCGAATTAACACATCCCCCAAATCAGAAAGTTGTGGCGTGGTGTAAGCTAGCAACTATGCTACCATCATAAGCTCACTGCTTGAGCGTGTTTTAAACGCCAACATTAAACGCCATATGGCACTGTGCAAAACATGTGCTTGCCTGAGATTGAAGAAGGTTCCTGTGAATGCCCATTTTGTCTTAGTGACACTTTGATCCATCTTTGCCAACTCAGACCACCTTGATTAAAGAGAAGGGTCAAAACATGGTCACATGCCCGTTCCTCACAGATTTTGGATCCAGCTCCCCTTTTCTGCTTCTTTATGCATGGTCCACAGAGGCTTTAGTCCTCAAAACACATAATGATGGTTTTCTAGCAACAGGCCAAAACAGTGTTATAAAGCTGGGCAGAGCAGAGGTACGCTCTTGCATGTTGAGAGAGTCTCCAGTGGAGGGCCGGAGAACAGTTAGCGCATTTCTGTGTGGGTGAAGGCCTGAGCTTAGCAACAGCTTTGTCCTCTGCAAAAAATCTACCAGTAAGAAACTTTTTCATGAATTAAACATGTGGAACACAAGGTGCTAGAAATATCCAAACATTATTTACTGATGCTGTGTTATATAACCTTAGACAAAAAGGCACTCTAATGAAGTTGAAATTCTGCCAGGGGCTCTGGAAAAACAATAACACAACGTAAAGACCCTGAAAAATCGGTTTACCTATGTAATATCACATCAGACAGATAAACAGCACACCTAGACATTAATATATATGTTGTCTGGAATGCAAATTTTAAGGCACAACTGTGTGTGTGAAACTATTTTTATACAACAATTCTACAAATTATATATTACATAATATACATTTGAGAGAAAAACATCAATTGCTGGCCATCTGTGCAACCTAAGTAGTGGAAGTCAATATCTATCTGCTTTATATAGTCATCAAATAAATGTACAACAAAAAATGCTCTTTTTGTTGTTGAGGCATGCAAACCTACCCTCTGGTTTGATCATCCTTCCTTTTTGAATGTGGCAGCTTTGATGTTTGTCACGCAGGGTTATTTTGCTGTTATTACATTTGTGAGGAATCCCTGCATGGTCCTCGACAGGAAATTAAAAAGCAGGTACCCACAGGAATCTATGGGCTCAAAGAATTTTGTAGAACATGGCAACTTCATAGAAGAACATCAGAATGGATCATCCATTTATGAGTTTTCCTGTCACGGTTAAAGACAATAATACTGTTTTCTGTTTACTGTGTTCAGGAAATCGTTTATGAAAACAGTGCCCCCAAATATAATAATACAGACTGGCTATATTGGGCCTAAATACAAGTTACTTGATATAACGTCTAAGCAATATCATACCCATCCATTTGTACTTAATAAAATATGTGTTCCAGAAAACATAGAACCTGGAATTCACTCACCTTCTACTTAACAATAACCACAGGGCAAAAGTTGGATATCGGAAAGCCGGGTCAGACCGTTCTTCAGTGAGAAGCATTATCTGATGTCATTTCCAGGATGGTGGTAACGAACCAGCATGGAGACATGTTAGAAAAAGTATTAGTTAAATAATACAATAAAATTATGAATTAAAATGATAAAGTTGTTACAAATGGTTACAATCAAAGGAAAATATGAAATCCGAAAATGCTCATAGCTTCACAGTGAAATCAGAATTTGAAAAGCTTATTTATGAGAACAGTTTATAATAATTACAATGGTAAATCAAATGTTACCTTACTTTTCACTATGGCTGTTTTTGAGCAAATGCACTCATTTTGTGTTCATGATTTTTAAATAATTCAAATTTCCACTGTAATTGGCCTTGTTCTGTTGTATTTTTCTGAAATGTTGCATAAAATACAGTATTAAATGGAGACTGCATTGCTATATTTGGCCATTGCATTATTTCGCTAGCATTTTAAGTTGTAACATATAGTGAACACTTTTGCAGTAGTCTGCATTAGGATTGTCAAAATATTAGGACAGGATTAAAAATTTGCTAAATATTTGGCAGATGCTGCTGAAACATTCTTTATGAATGCATGCATTATAAGTAGCCGTTAAGTCTCTGAACCTCACAGTCCTCGTCTCCATGCATGCACCATTGGTCCTTTATGGCCAAAATCTGATAGTGTCTTCTATTAGTGTCGGCTCTCATCTCCTGCGGAAAAATACACACATTCATTCAACACACAAAGATCTTATGAAGGGAAGATGAATAGAACATGTGTTTGTGCCTTCTTATGTGGTATAAAGCGATGTGCCGAAGTCCACAATAAAGCACTGAAGCAGTTTGTCCCAACACATGGCAACCTGTCACAATAAAACTGATAAAAGAAGGACCTCTGCTGGAAGCTCCACATTTTTGTCCACATCTTGACAGACCTTTACAACAAGGAAACAGAGAGTTGCTTCAGGACATTCTTGACTTGGACATCACAAATAGCGTGTGACAAATGGAAAACACGTGACACTGTCTATCGTGATGTTTGCGAGATCTCACATTTTACTTTGTGCCAGTTCTAACTTAACTGTTCTCATATGAGATCAAAAAGTTAGCTATACACGACAAGTTTTGGAAATCAAATGACTTTCCAGTAACAGCTTATTTCAATTTGAGAGCAGATGATATTTAGCATAGTGATGTTTAGCATATGAATATTAACACAACCTTTGCCTTCAACCCTTGAATGAGTCCTAAATGCCATTTTAGGCCCCATTTATCCCTCTGGCTATCACAGGGTGATGTTTTACTGTTGAAATTGTTCAAGACCTCCAAACGCTATGGAGGAGCCAGATGTCTATGTCTCTGAGTGACAATCTTCTAACAGTGCTGTTTTATTTTTCATTAATTTGCAGAGCTGTTTTGTCTCGGTTCTGCGCACAAGCTATTTCGCTTTTGTCAGCGGTTTGGTTAATACAAGCGATGTGCGAGAGTGGTAGAAATGTGGACCTTCACAGACAAATATGGTCAAAGCTGAGACTGTATTAAAGCAAAACGTCCTTGGTTATAATCTCAAGAGATCTAAATTGCATAAGGAGACAATTCTCTCTCTGAAAGCTCTCTAAAATTACACCTTTGTCAACAGGCACAACAGAGTCTTATGCCATTGTCCAAAATATCACTTTACAGTGTAGACCTGTCATTGGGATGCAATGAAAACGTGGAATTTAGTGTGGTCCCACAACCATGTGTGGGGGTTCCCCACTGTTCGAAATTGCAAGTTAAATATGTTTTGTCCTCTAAGGATGCAGCCAGTGCATAATTAACATTCCCTGGCTGTTTACAGTTGATTATTTCACTCAGTGGTTTTCCCTGGGAGCTGGTGATTATGCTGCTGCTCGACTACTAATAAAGAAATCCCTTTGAAAGTCAAGGCTCATATCAGAGAGATTTGGCGGAGAGGAACCAGTTATTAAGACGGAGCCCAAAAAATCAGCACCATCCTCACATTTAGCTTAGTGAGGTGAGGTTAAACTGATAATGGCACTGTAAAACAACATGAAAAAGACATTATACTGCATCTCAAAAATGTTTTTGAGAGCTCATTAGGAGTTTGGTATCAATTATGGAAAAGTGAAAGAGGACAAACATAAACCTATGAGATGACTGACTGACTGACTGACTGACTGACTGACTGACTGACGGACAGACAGACAGACATAGAAACTCCAAACACTATCTGGCCTCACATAAAGACTGTTTACAGTTTGGTTGAAGTGTCTATATGTCAAAACATTATCACATCCAGATAAAGAAATCTTAAGCTGAGCGGCTTGTAGTCTCATGTTTGCTCTCCCCACAGTCTTGCCACATGAATATACAGGCTTGCTTGCCAGTGTTTACAATTCGATAAGTGCACACAAGTTAAAGGCTTGTGCGCATATCTGCTTGTTGGTATAAAACAAGCAAACCACACACAAAACTAAACAGGCACATAGTGCTACTTTTTGCCAGGAACATGCAATTACTTGTAGTTTTCAGATCCAAGCACTTCCTTTTTTTACACATTTTCTTTTCCTCTTTGAGAATCCCATTTGGAAGAATAACCACATGTTGCACTGGAAGTGTCTCAAATGTGGTGATGGGAACACAGCGGATGAACCATTAAAATTCCTCTGGGATTGTATGGTTGTTATACACAAAAGCCATAAGGATCAGTGTCAGTTTTCTTTAAGAGGTACAGTACATGTTGTGTGGACTTCTGAACCAGGAGTCTTGGACACTTTCAACCAGTGTAACAAAAACAATCCAGAGCCACTTCATTACTTAACTAACTAAAGGTTTTAAACTACTTAAGGTTTTGTAAGAGTCATTTTGAGAAATTAGTACTTTAATTAAGCAAGGATGCATTAAATTGATCAAAAGTGACAGCAAAGACACTTACAATGTTACAAAAAAAACGTTTCAAATTTCAAATAAAAAATAAACTTTCTATAATTCGTCACTGTTTCCACCAAAATATTAATCAACACAACATTGCTTCTTTTCAACATTGATATTTAATAATACGAAATGTTTATTCAGCAGCAAATCAGCATATTAGAATGATTTCTGAAGCATCATGTGGCACTGAAGACTGGAGTATCGATGCTGAAAATTCAGCTTTGACATCACATGAATAAATTAAATATATTTACAAAACAGCAATTTGAAACTGTAATAATAATGTAATAGTATTCCTGTTTTAAAAGGTTTTAAAAGTCATAACAGTAAGGAAACAACCAAAACATCCTAGCAACCCCATAGCAACATACTAAAACCTCTTAAAGCACCCTAGCGACCCCACTCCAATGTGCTACAACCACCCAGAACACCCTAGCAACCCAAAAGTAAGCTTTTCATGGGCAAGCGACAAGCAAACAAGCAAAAAAAGAGGCTAGTCTATGAGTTGATTCTAACCAACTGAGATGAGAAAGACCGTATTTTGTTGAATGTGGTCTTTTCATTACTCATCAAAAAAAAAAAGAGGGGAAATGAGTACGTTTTATTCATAGCCAATGCAGTAACGGAAAAAAGTGTCCCATTGTTGTGAAGCCACATAGGGACAACTTTAGAAATAACAAGCTCAAAATAGACTAGATCATATGTATACACCAACGGCTCTCACTTACAATATGTACAAAGGATTTTGATTCCCTTTGACCCCTTTTAAGGATGTTTAAACAACAAATCACAATTATTTGACGTGCATCAATGACATTTCAAAGCGTCAACAAGTTCACAGAAGAAGGTTGTTATTAACACAAGCTTGGTTTCAGATGCCATGGAATCAAAGCCATTTATGTGACATCACACTTGGAGAACAGACATAGTTTATTTTTGCCATCTGGCAAACACTGCGCTTTTGATACGACCAACAAAGTAAAAATGCAGTGGGACTGATGGAAGCCATTGAGTTCATCATGAATTATATAATTTCCCCACTTATGGTGGATGAAAGACTTGACTGTGAATTAAAAAACCTATCATGCATGTGACATGTATAGAGCTTACTTGCGGTTTCTGACATCCACTAATTTAATCCAGAAAATTAAATCTCTCAGTCCATTTCATTAACGTCAGATCTCTTGACAGACTACCTAATGCATAACTGAATATTATCTGGCCATCAAAATGTAGATGTTTGTTTCTTCATCAAAACAGATTTTAAGAAATTTAGCATTACACAATTTGCACACCACTGCAGTTAATGAATGCTGTCAGAATGGTCTACAATCCATAATAACGCTTCCTCCAGTGGTTAAGTCTATCCCCTGTTGTTCTCTCTCATCAAAATCCATCTACATATTTGTTTAAAACTCTTTAAGGCTGTTTTTTGCTTGTGCATATTTCTCTCCTTATTCAAATGAGATTTTTCACTGGAGAAAGCAATATTATGGATAGAGGAGTCATATTTTTGGTCTGAAGTTTTGACTAATTTAATGATGGATTTGTTTATTAAAAACATGCATGATTTTTACTTCACAAGACATTTATTAATGGACTGGAGTCTCGTGGATTATTGTGATGGTTTTATCAGTTGTACTCTCATTCTGACAGCACCCATTCACTCCTGAGCAGCTGATGTAAAGCTACATTTCTCCAAATCTGGTCCGATGAAGAAACAAACTCATCTACATTTTGGATGGCTAAGCGTGAGTAACTTTTCAGCTAATTTTCATTTTTGGTTTAACTAATTCTTTAAAGCTAGTAAAATACTACAATATCTGATCACTGGATGCAGAGACTGACCTGTCAGAATCAAGTATTCCTGAAACTATTTCATACTGTATATTCCTAAAAGGCATGCTAAAACTGTGGTTGGCCACATTATATGTCAATCAGGCAAATATTTCCTGTTTAAGTGGGCAGTTGTTGGACAGAAAAAGCTGCAAAGGACCATACAGACATCTGGCAGTGTGAAACTAGTTCTTCATTATTATAAGTAGGTCATTGATTCAAACATTTTATGGGATAACCAGTCAAACATATTACACACCATTTCTAATTTGTCACCAGTCATCTAATAAATATAATGATGAGGAGAATGAATGACCGTTTCAGTTTCAGCACACAACTGTGGCAGTAAATACTCACTACTCAATACCACATGCTTTGAAATTCTTGACGCCCTGTGATTTGTATAAGCAATTGGCTCCAAAGCACGTCTTTGAATTTGGGACCAAATTTCTTTCCATTTAAAAGAGCATTGTTTGACATCAGCCGGCTCTTCTGACAAATACCAGATAATTGTCAAGCATTTTTTAAATTTCTCCAAAAGGGCAAGAACAAGTCATCAAGTCAGGGTGAATCATAGCTATTGACTCATAACCTCCACTTCAGCATGATGTGGGCTGAAGGTTAAGTGTGTTGAATGTTTAAGTATCTTCACATGGGGAGAACATGGGAAAGAACGTTGAGAGATTAGAGCACAAAGCGTATTTGCTTCTTAAACCTCAGTGCACCAGAGATCAAGGTCACACTTGCCAGAGAAACACTCAGGAAAAGCTAATAACACAGGGAGTAGCTGGATAAGACCACCTGTGAGTTTATTCAAGATATCAGAAGGACATGCTGATGTGTCATACTATAAACAGTATGAGCTTATTTGCATTGCCAATTGTTCCTGTGCAATGGGGAAGTCATGATAATTATTGGCTTTACTGAATTACTTTAAT